GACGACCCAAATTTCGGTTCTAACCACGCAAACGACGTTGGCTGAGGCAACATCGGAAGTATTTCACCGCTCGGATTTGCGGGATCTTCCGGAACAACTCCGAAGAGAGTTGCAAGTGCCGGAAACAGAACCATACACGGTGGTTCAAGTTGAAGGGAATAATAGCATTGGTATGATTTCAAAAACGTTAATAATGATCATGAGTCAGTAGTTTAGCGAATGAATGTGCTATCCTTTGATCTCTCACTGCTAAAATCACATTTATGGATGAAATCATAAAAGTTCGTCATTTATAATATACGAAAATAGTCTCGAAAATTTCCATATCAGTGGTCTGACAAGCAGTTTATGCAACAGTATTTTCTAATCCTTTCTGTTTTCAGTGTGTGGTATCTGCAACAGACAGTTTGGAACACTAAAAGGGTGGCGGATTCACGCCTCAATGACACACAAGCAGGATGGTAAGTATTTCGAAACGAAATTTTCAGTTAGTTTTAAAAGCATAGGTATATTTAACTCATCTAAAAACTAGCAGATTCATTAATTATGTATATTTTAGGTTTTTCCGCTCGATGCAGCCATTACTTCCTGCTGCCACCCGAATATACGGCTGCACAGCAAATAGCAGCGGTGGGGCTTCATGCTCTCGATTGTTGTCCGGCCGTAATTAAACGAAAGGCGCGTAAAGCGCCGTAGATTCGAACTTGTGGGGAGAGAGAAAGATGCTGACCACCTTTTCATCCCAGGTAGGAAAATAATAATATTCAAGAAATTAAATTTAGTGCATGAAAAGAAAATTTGAATGATTATAGAAAATAAAACATTGTGGAATTGATCTCAGTCTTTCTTCATAGAAATCTCCTTCATAGAATTGATCTCATAGTTTTCCTAATTAGTGAATTTTTCTTTTAGGGCAATAATGCTATTCCGTCCTTCTCACGCGGCTGACCTGTCGCTGCCTGTTCCAAGTCCATCTCTTTTCAATGATGCACGTCCAAGCGGTTAGTATTCCTCAAAAAACTAGAAAAAATGCAGAAGACAACCAAAAAATTAAAAAGAACAAAATAATTAAAACAAAAAAAAACAAAAAGGAAAAACAAAAACAATAATAAAAACTAAAAAAATAGAAAAACAAAAAACAAAATAAAAACAAAAAGAAAAATAAAGGAGAATTAGAAAAAAAAGAGAAAATTTGCTATTGCTTTAAGTAACTTTGATTGTTAAGATAACTCAAATTCAAGTTCTAACATAAGAAAATAGAGTAATTCATGATTTGAACTCATTTTGTATTCAAATTCTGAAAACATGTTGAGAGAGTTTTTTCTCGTCGCGAATCCAAAAACAATAATTTGTATTTGTTGTTGATGCATTTCTTTTTGCAGTTTTGCTAATTGCATGTCTTTTTTTTTAGTTTTATTATTTGCATACTTTGCTCGTTAATCTCATTTGTTATTATTGGGTAAATTCTTGATTACTTGCAGTTTTTAATTTTTTTTTTGTTAACTCTGCTTTTTTGGTTGCTTTTACTAACTGCATTCTTTTTTGTTAATTTTACTCACTTCGACAACAGTAACTTGTATTTGTCGTTAATGCGTGCCTTTTTTATAGTTTTACTAATTGCATGCATCATTTTACTAATTTCATTTATTATTATTGGATGATATTTTTGATTACGAGGAACGCCAAAATATGCGACTGAATTATCATCATTGTGATCTTAAGGAGGTTTTTTGCTCATATTTTAAACACACTGAAATTTTCTATATCATTTTCCAACCTCACTGCGAGTAGATAACGAGATACGGGTAATTCAAAATGTCTTTAATTATAATGTCAAGTAAAGATTGATTGCGGCATGGAGCGGGATTTGGATGCAAATTTTCAACAAGACTCGTTTTTTCTCCTTTTTATTGTTACTGCTTGTATATATTGCATGAATAGGTTTGCATAAAACGATTTAAAGTTTTGCTGGTATTTTGCCATTTTGGCGGAAGTCCCGTATATTTCAGATATTTTCTTCTATCATATGAGATGACTAATTCATCTTTCAAGATTATTTTCTCCAGGTTGTTATATCTGATTTTCTATGTTTTTTGCATAAGCATTATGTAATGCTTTGATGAAATTTGTTTTGCTATCTGATATGTTGAAATCACGATAGGTAAAAATGTCGGTGTTTGACAAGACTTATTTCATGAAGTTTCAGCTTGATCGGTGCTCAGGATAAGGAGTAATTTTTGTGGATTTTAAGTGGCGATATGCATGTAAACGTAATCATTATTAAATTTTTCTCTATCTTTGTAATGTCAATTACTGTAGAGGATCATGGAACGAACTACCGCTTACCGCTCTTGGCTCTGAACAAGGGACATCGTCAGACCGGTTACAAAGCAACAGTATTTCGAAGCACCAGAAATACAACCTGGAATTCTTGGCTCTGAACAAAGATTTTTTCCTTTTTTCGTTTTTTTAACGTTTTTTCTTTTCGCTACTTTTTTTTTTTTTTGAGTGATTTGAAGCTTAATACTAGTATCAAGATGACCTTGGTCTCCTTTTGTTCCTTCTGCTTTATTCCTTCCTTCAATGATACTTCATCTGATACGTCCTGCAAGAGATTAGAATTATGAGGTACAAATGATACGAGCAATGTTTGACAATATATTTTAACAATCGTGTATTGTTGATTTCATTTTACACATTGTTTCTAATCAACCATCGGAGTAAAAGTCGATGAGAACATTCAAAAATTTTGAGCGAAAATTGGCAAATTCATATGCCTACTAGCTATGATATTTTTAAAAAATAATTTAAATATGGAAATTTGCGGGAGGAAAAAAAGACCGCAAATGATCAAAATGTCAACAATTTGTATGGACGAAATGAATGTGACTGAAGAAAGAAATGGAGTAGGAGTGAATTAAATCATATTGAGTAATTAATAAAATTTATACTTAATTTCATTCACCAAATTTAATTTTGCGATTCAATAAGTCTATTAATATACTCATCAAAAAATCATTTAATTCAGACATGTAATTGGAACGAGAAATAATTGAGAATTTGCATTTTTTTTCAATGCAAAATATCTCAATGATCATTTAAAAAAAAAAGGATAAACAAAAAATTTGTGCGTGCATTCTTGCTAATGTTTCAATTTAGAATTCGTTTAGTGTTGTCGATATTACTACCATTATAATGTAGTATAAAAATCCTATAATTTTACTCTTTTGATTGCTTCCACAATGGCATAATAATATTAATTGAGAGTGTGAAACGTGAAGATTAAAATGTGAAGAAAAGAGTTGTAGGAAAAATCTCATTTAACAAACCAAAAATGGTGCATACTACAAATGTCAAATTGCAGGTAATGTTTATTTGGCCACTCATTAATCATTTAATTTGAAAACAACAGAAAATTGCAATAGTTAAAAAAATAATCATTTTTTCCTCTTTTTTTCTGTGCAGAAAAACACTGACATAAAGTATATAATATGGGAAGATGGAATTAGAGCAGTTAATATCCTTTAGAAATGGACGTAAATAAAAATGTCCTTTCTACAGTGATTTTAGACACATTAAGTAATATATTTGCATATCATCTTAAACAGAAGAAACAATTTATATTACTAAGAAATATAGTGCACACTCTTTGCTTTCATCAGTATTAATTCGTGTCATTTTTTAGGTTGGTTTGTCGAATTATTGAAAATTTATTTTGTGTGAGAATTAGATTAAATTTTAAAAAAATGCAAGGTTTTTGGTGTTTGGCACATGTATTAAGTACTATTGTGGCCAGTTTTAAGTGAAGTGGATTGTAAAAATTTGTT